TACTCGGATGACACCTATAATATGTTTTTCGTTTTTCTACTCACAAGTCTAACAAACTTATGATTTGAAAGAATCCATTATACCTCATTCTGTAGCCCTTTCAACTCTGCCTCTTCCTTGCTATATACAAACTACGCTAAATCTCCGTCTGTAAAAGAAACTATAATCATTTTTATGTGCCACTATAGGAAAACAATTAAGGTATAGCCAAGTATTTGGCCAATATATTTACAAGGGCATACTTCTAAAATAAATGTGTTATAGCTCATTTTGTGGTCTGTGAACGGTATGTAAAGTAGAGTGGTTAACGGGAGAATAAATGGATAGTATAAACGACGAACGATGTTGACCTAGTGGTTTGCTGAGATGCTCAAGAGTATTTTTGACGTTAGAGTACTCAGTTCCATTTTTTCTGAATATTTTATATAGCATTTTGTAACCCATGACATTCTCTATCGAACGGTATATGATAGTTGAGACTTATTCTAAGTGAAAGAGATAAAATAATGAAAATACTCTGAGTAAAGTTGATTTATTGAAAGAGAAGGTTTGTTTGAGAACATTTTTCCACGGAACATTGAAGAAAAAAAATATGTTGGGATTAATCGCCGACAAAAACTACATCAGATCGGTTGATATGAGCTTGATGTGTGAGGGCGCCGATTTTGCCTCTTATCGACCTCCGTCCTTTGTAACAAATAACTATTGCCCATCAAATGAACAGTGGCCTCGGTTGTTTTCTGAATAACTTTTGACAGAAAAACGATAGAATCTACGGTTTTCAGTTTTAGAAACTAGGCACTTGACGCCACATTTCCATAAGCAACATCAATATTTGAAAAGTTTCCCGAAGCCAGTTTTTCAGAGGAGCTTTGGAAAACCAGTTTGGATTTCACAAACTAGCTTTCCTATGCAATCAGAATGAGACGGTTTGTTCCAAAAAGAAGAATCCTTTACTCTAGTGGGCATTAGGGTGAAAGGATGCTTCATCGACAAGATCTGAGTGACTTCCTGGAAAGTACTGAGTAGGATTTCATATTCTAATATGTGAAGTTGTCTGTCACAGTGCACTTTTTTCGGCCTACACGGTTCTGCTTTTTGATGGTCTGTGGTCTGTAATACAGAAACACCAATTTTCTTTAATTCTGTACTAATTGAAATAGTCTATTTCTGATTATTTTTATCAAAAACTAAAAACCTCATAACTCAGTCAAAATCCATTCAACCTACCCCAGAATGTCAAGATATACTCTATTTTATCTGCAGCATACCGTAAAGCTCAATAAATATTGTAAAAACCAATAGAAAATACTTCCGTTTCTAGAAAGGCTTCGCAGAAATCTTGGGAACCAAGAGAATGTGTTTTAATGATTTTATGTACAGAATCAGAATGAGCGGATAAAATAGAGTATATCTTGACATTATGAAGTAGCTGGAGCGGATTTCGACTGAGTTATGAACTCCAACGAGACTCAGCTCACGATAATCTGTAAGAGATTAGTCAAACTCACACTTATTATGTACCGAAATTTGTTTCTGGTTAATAGTCAACAATCAGCTACACCACTCAAATTTTTTATAGGGTTTTGTTGAATTTTTATCACTAACGGCCCCATGGCTGTACCTTTCGCCCATATATATTTCTCTTTTGTGTTCTTTCTCCAAGCTCATATAGCTTATGAAAAAGAAAAAAACGTGAATCAAAGCAATATAATAAAAGATAAATTGATATATGCCCCTACAAACATTTGTCTGGTTCTTTTCATAAAGATGTTTGTAAATACGTAATTCACTCTCAATGTCGTTTTACTTTAACAGTCATTTGATAAGGCTGTTATATAACACAGTAAGAATTTGTGATAAAATTCGTTTATTATGGTGTTAACTTTAAGTTATTGCAATAATCACAAAATATCTTTAAATTTAGCGTTTTATGGAAGATTGGGTCAATTATTATATAACCCTTTGATAGATACTAATAATAATCTAAATCGACTATAACCGCAAAAACGCTTTGGTTCGAAATGCTGTCTCGTTGCAGCGTCTATCCCACGTCATCGTTTGGTGGTTCTAGTAACTGCACACCACCATTTACTTTCGGCAGTTTGGGAGTATCAGTTTCTACACCACAACCTAAAAAGTTTAATGATATGATGCCACTAACCAGTAAGAAATTCCAGACGAATGATATAAGCTATTTATTTGGAAAGAAAGAAATCAGCAATTTTATAAGGCGCCGCTAATTCAAACTTATGGCGCTATTTTAGTTTTTCCTTATCTATACGCCATTCAATAAGTTCGACGAGCTGATTAAGAGCATCAACATTTTAGTTTTAAAATTTTGAATTCTGAACGATAAGTCTTCAAAATACTAGAAGGAATTCTCTAATTTCGAAAAATCCTTCGGTTTCAAAATACTTCAGATTTTTGTCATTTCTGTTCTTCTAACTTTTCGAAAGTATTTTTTCGAATTCCGCATTATAAACTGAGTATGAGAATGATGTTTGATAGAGATTGAAATAGAAGGTCTATCGTCTTCGATTCGGCCTTTAAAAAGTTTATCAACAATTTTGAAAACCTACCTAGGTTTTCTTGTGAAGAGATGAAGCCGACGTTTTTTGTTTTATTAGAACCGTCATTAAACGAGCTTCGAAAGTACATATCGCTTATTATTGAAATTCTGTTTCGTTCCTGAGAAAGCAGCGAAAAAATCGGAATTCAGCCCGTAGTTCTGTATTTTCTCCACCAGAACTCACTTTTTATGCAGTAAAAATATCATATCCGGAGTTAGCGTCGAAAATCGAGTCGAATGATATATATTTTTATTCTATCCGACTACCGTTGTTTTCGAATTTCCACGTCGAAAAATTACTTAGATTTTCACCAAAAAGGAGAAATCAGTGAAAAAGGACGGAGTGCAATAAGAACGAGGATCTGCCCCATTTCAGATCTTCTTGAAAGGTATCTAGAATGAAAAAGCATACAGTTTTATGGGGTTCTACACCCTTGGTTCTCTCATGGATAGATAGTCCAAAATAACCCCTTCAACAACCTAGTAAAAAACTATATTAGATGAAAGCTCGATGTTTGCCTGTTTTTGAGTGAAATGAGAAAATTGATGACTCAGTCAAAATCGATCTGTACTACGTCGGAATATCAGGAAAAGTAAGAAAGTAGGCAAGTGAAATTTGTATCAAGCTGAATTTAAACACCCACGCTGTTTAATATGACATTTTGTTATGCACGCTACTCCTGCTTTTCGACATGGACAACATTTCGTTCCACATTTAGTTTTACAATCGTATATTACACTGGATACCACGTACCAATAATTTTGCGGTTTTGATTAACGTTGTGTCACTAAAGGAGCTTACTTCATTTAGTTTTAAATCTGATGAACATGCTGATTGCAAATTGATTAATCGTTCAGCCGTATAGAAGTTCGAGAGTTATCAATTTACATGTTGTTCTAAAAATGGAACCTTTACTTTGTCGTTAGAAAAAATTAAACACGGCAGAACCTTAACATCCGAATTTGTTCGCTGCTAATGCTTCATCTATAAGTGCATAATCACTGGATGGTTCACCTGATACTTGTTCTTCACTTAAATTATTAAAATACTTATCAATTTCTTCAGAAAATAATTTTTCTTACTCATCAGATGTAGAAATAGTGAACACACCAATAGAAGGAGTAAGCACACTCCTATATACTTCTACATCAGAAACAACAGCCAAATCATCAACTTCGGTAGCATTAGTCGAATCAGTCATACCACCTTCTGCTAATAATGAAAGTAGAGATACAGATCGTTCTTTGCGGTCAGAGAGTCCTTTTGTGATAATCTTGGTTTATTCGACAGAGCTTAGTCTGCGCTACAACGTTTTAGATTTAGAGGTTGAACGAATAATTCAGCTAAATTTAGCAGTCAAAATACCGAGCAAAACCAGTTTTGAGGAACTTCATTTTTTCTCTAGGAATCTTCACTGAATGTTCCAACATAATTTTCTGGTATCTTAAACTGCTTTTCATGGCCAATATGCTGATAAATGACGCGGAAAGAATTTTGTTGAATGATTTGCGCGAATTCCAGAAATCAACAAGAACTCTTTTGTTTCTACGTAAGCAATTACTCAACAGTGGGAACGTATTTCTCACGCTAAATCTTGGTCATTCTTTTGTTGTTTTTCCACGTCGTGTAGCGGTGGAAACAAAATTTGGCATTATAGTGGCGTGCTGGTCGGACAGGCTTTTTTGAACGGCATTGTGCTACAGGCGAAAATTTTACAACGTTCAAAAAATAGTAATAAGGTTGAACAAAGACATTAACTTGAGTGAAGTTAAATCATCTAGCTGAGAAAAAAGCTATTCTTTCTGAAGAAACGAAAGCCTTTAAGAATGACTCGAGGATGATTTGAATTCTCCCGTAAAATTAACGAAGAGTTTTATTCTCCCCGAAATGGATTAGAATTTGAGTTATGACTTGCATTCATCCAGCGTAGCCGACAAAGTTAAACTGTACAGAAGTAGAAATTTCACCGCTTTTCTTACTGTACAATATTATTAATAAATCTGTTGGATACCGAGCCAAAAAAGTAAAATATGAAACCTAATCTGCCACGTCTCAGCAACTGATTTCCCGGATCGAGTTGCTCATCTCCATTTTACCATCCATTCACTCTAAAAGCCAAACTTAAAATCGAATAGTTTTACTGCATTTTGACAAGAATAAAAGGTTGTATCTAATAATACTTTAGCATCAAAAAGTTCCATAGAGTTTTTCGAGGATTCCATTTTGGTGCATTAATATCAGCTAAAAATTTTATGTAAAAAAGTTTGTTTATCTACTAGTCCGTTCTGTCTAGTGAATTCGGCCGAATTTTATACTTTTTCGTATTCATTTAATATGCTGTCTTCAAGCTTTTGTGTACGTAGTACTAGCCTTGCATTGGGTTGTTCGTATGTGTATTTCAGTACGTTCTTCATGTTCAATGTCTTACTATGTTGGTAATGGCGGTGAAGTGATCAGATAATGCGTGTATGGTTGAAACTTTTTTAGAATAAAGCGGAGTAACGGTAAAATTAATAGTTTAAATACGAGAAATATGAAACCAAAGATTTCGATTACGACCATGGTAAATAGAAGATTATGAAATATAATTTCTGATTGTTTAGCTATCGGCTGTTGAATATTTTGGATATAGAAAGCTGTCTCACTTATTGTAAGTGTTATTTGTGATTGAGTTGAGTTCGACTGTTGAATATATTGTGACGTGGATATAAATAGATCGTTGAGGTTCATCGTGTATGTCGGTGTCCATATACCTTTGAATATAGTATGATCACCAGTTATCAGTGGTTCAGTTTCATTTAACACTTTCGTCAGTTGTAGAAGTAATGTTGATGGATTTTGAGCTAAAGTTTTGTTTTGAACAAAAAATACTTGATAAAAATTGAGTGCTTGCAATGTCGAATATTGTTCGGTATCTGATGATCCAGTGAGACCAAAACGAAGTCCACCAATAGGACTGACACCGTTCAGTGTCATTTGAATGGTTATCGATTGAGAGAGTAATTTGACAGATATAGATAGCACAGAATTTTGATATGTGCACTGTGTATCAGGTAGAGGTGAATAAACACTTCCGGCTATTTGTTGTACTTGAATTTCATTACATTGAAATTGTGTATTGAGAAAATCAAAATTTAGTGTGAGTTCTTGTGCGTTCAACAAGCGGAATATCGTTTCTTCTGCAGATGAGACCGATACCCCTAATGACTGTAGATTTGTATCAAATTTGGCATTTCGAATAGTTTTATCACAAGAAAAATTTGCATCGCCGACATCTTCGATCGGATAGTGTTTATAATATGAGGTACTAAATGAATAACCAAAGCAAACAAGAACCATAATAGCGAAACTAACGAGGCCACCAATCCATAATTCACCTTCACCGACAAGATCAACTTGACGAAGATAACGTTGAATTTTGCTTATCCATTTGTTACGATTAGGATGTTTAGTGCAATATTTGATGACTGCCATCAATATCAAGAATAAAACAACAGCAGTAATCATCATAAAGGTCCAAAACAGAGGCGAAACAATAATGCAATGCGGTGATGAACCAATCGAAAACATATTCATAAGTAAAATATCGTCGAAGGTGGTACTGTCAGGCGAACGAGGATAGGCATACACTTGTATGAGTGATGTCAGTTGAGAAGTAAGTATAGAATCATCAACTGAGCCAAGCGGACAAAATCCATCGTTTTGACATGGTGTACAACTAGAGGCAACCGATGTATTGCTAGTTGCTGAATTTTTTGTTCCTTTTGGACAAAGACTACAAGGTCCAACACCAATCATACTCTTGTTCGTTCCGGGTATACATGATGTGGATTTACTTATTGTCAACGATTTGCCTGTATTCGAGTAGTTACCTTGTTGACTTGGCAATAGAATCAAAAGTTGTCCTTTTGTATCGATGATAATTAGTGCTGATGGTGTTGATATTATATTGAGAAACTGAGTAGAAAATGTATACGGCAAAGATTGTTGATTATTTGGAAAGACAACAAGATCTCCGTTCAATGTTGTTGAATAATACAAATTAATTTTAGATGATGTTAATGCTCTTAAGTAGTCGAGAGAATATTGATTGACAAGCACAGCTATTTGTGGTTCGCCCTGGAGAAAACAAACACCTTTTCCAAAACCGATCGATTGACCGAACGATGTATTTGTGACAATTGTCAATGATGTCGATGAATACGCAAATACATACACTGTGTTGATCGATTGAATGCCGACAATGGCTTGTTGAACATTGTCATTGATATCGATTGAAATGTCATATTGAGATGCATAGGTCACGGCACCACCACTTTGGGATTGTTGTTGCCAAGAGCCACTCACCGATGAGTACGTCCAGTTAGTGACAACGTGTGGTTTTAGTTTGGGATCTAAACCCATCAAATAGACTACTGGCGTGTATGAAATACGATTGGAACTTATATAGCCGGTGACTAAAAGTGATTTGGTAGTACTATTTATTATAACAGCTGATCGAGTTGTAAATGTTGAATCGGACCAAATTGCTTGTCCGAGCCATGATACGAATGTTTGATTGAACGGATAGTAGAGAAATAGATAACCATTTGATAGTCCGTAGGCCATAAGTCCACTTTGATCAACGGCCATAACAAGATATTCCTGATGAGATAATGTGCCACTATAGTAAATCGTGTAGTTACCTTGACATTGGAATTTTTCTTGTGCACCTGGCAATAACGTTGATGATTGATTAACAAATTTCTGCGGATTGACTCCGAAATGTTGCCATATGCCAATAAATGTACCGTTGTTACTCGCCGAATCGGTTGACGTCAGTTCACCAATGAAATAGAAGTAGAGTTGAGTCGATGTTTGTCGTTTACCAACGCCAACTGTATAGACATAGTAGGGCGATGATATCTCATTGTAAAATGGATAAGTGATAGAACAGTCCATTGGTGGAGTGTAATCATAGGGCGCAAATTGAAGATAAAATGCATACTTGTCATTCTGAGCTTCAACTAACAATATTTCATTGGCAGCTACTTTAATACCGTACATATCGTAGTCAGTTCGGTCAGGTGAGAAAGTTACAATGACCGTTAGATGAATGGTGTAGAATAATAATGTAGTCATTAAAATCATTATATTACACATCTAGAAGGAAATATAAGAATTTCAATAGAAGTAGTGAAGAGGTACGATCGGAAACATCTGGCATATTGAACCAAGCTTCTCCAATCAAACATCTACTCAGAAAAGCTTAAAGTTTTCGACACATTGAAATTATTTTTATGTGTTGCAATTTCTGAATGCATAGTGCATTCGAAGTCATCAACAAGTGATAAAATATTCATGAGAAAAAAAAAACACGAAATCTCTTATTTAGCTCCAAAAACTTTGGATGATCAAACTAAGTTTTCTGGTCTCGATCACACAGTTCAAGAGAAAAACTTCAATTCGAAAAAAATTTTTCTTCTGACGTGTAGAAATTTTAAGAACAATCGTACAAAAATTCAATGTACAGTTTAGGTTGATCAAAAATCCCTTTTTAACCGACTCCATTTTGTTTTCTACTTTTTTTATATAAAAAAGGATTTTTTCCTCGAAATATTTTTAGAACATCTGGTCTCAGTGTTGTTCTTGGCGAAACCGAGGCCTAGGAGGACATGAAGGCCGTTTCGGCCATGTCTAAGTCTGACTATGAAATTCAGATTATTTATTAGTTAATTCAGTGAGATTAATTGAACAAAATCTGGTTTTTAGTTCTTTTAAGTAAATTTTAACTAGTAGAAAAACATCAAAAGCTACTACACAGAAAAGACAACCGATTCGTTCCACATTCACCAACCGTCCGGTTTGACCGGGTCCTATTCAGTGTCGGTTAAATCACTGTAGTGGATCCTGTCAGCTTACAATTATAATATGTGATTGCAAAAAGTATTTTTGTGTAGCATTTTGTACTACTCAAAACACGAAAATAATTGCAGTTATTATTCTCTGCTTTTAATATAAGGCTGCGAAAACTTAAAACTTGAGCATTATTGTATTTTTCATTAAATTATACCTGGTTGTATCGAGCGAATTGCGATGAATAAGAAAATGTGTCTGTTGGTTTTTCAAAAAACCTAATCGTGGAGAAAATTGAAAAGTTTAGAGATTGTTCATTTTTCAAAAAAAACGCCTAGTTCTTGAAAAAATTCAGTTTTCCCAGTCCAGGTTTGTTATTAACATTTGAAATTGATTTTTTTCTTAATCAGTGTTGCTGAATAGAAATAACTGTGATGGAATTTTTCGAGACGTGAAATGAGATTTGAAGTTTTTCGAAGAACAAATGTTGTCAAGCGGTTCAGCATAGTCGACAACCTATGTTTTCATGCATTTCTGACAGTCTAAAGCTAACTTTTTCGAGTAAAAAATCATTTAGAGCAGATAAAATAGGATAGATGTTGGTATTCTGACATAATTTCATTGAATCCTGAGTGGGTTATCAGTTTTTTGATTCTTTTTCTTTTCTTTCTTTTATATTTATTGACAACAAACAGAAAGTAATAAGAAAAGATGTTACATTGTGTCAAAGGAGGTACATCAAAAAGCATGAGGGCTTGTAACAACAACAACAAAAGAGTTGTAGTAGACATACACCTTTACTCAATAACAGGCAAAAATGGGATATTCCACCTAATATACGTTTTCACTAGATTTCTGCAACTTTTTTGAAAAACAAATGTTGCCACGAGATTAAGCATAGTCGATAACCTATGTTTTCATATGATTTCACCGTTATCAGACCCAGTTTAATGATAGTCATATAGCTTCGTGAGAAACCCATTCAGAAACCCGGCGAAAGTCAGAGACCGCTTAGACTCAACTTGGTGGAAAACACTTTGGTCTATCTACCTATGAGAAAAAATCGATTAATTGATATTTTTCTTTGCGGAAATCTATACGTTTGTCTGGTAAGCAGTCACAATAAATAAAAGATTAATTAGCGGGTGACACATATCTAGAAATTAAGAAAAATGACCAGTATTGCGACAGTATCGGAATTAAGAGAGTAAAATTTGCGGGTTCGATAAAGTTACCGGGAACTCAACACTGTGAAACTTCACAAACAAATGTATATAAATGAAAAGTTTACTTGACGCCACGAGGTTTTTTAATTGGATCCAGCTACAGAATAAATTATTCGTTTATTTATTTAGTATGTGTTCTACAGAAATAGGAAAAAGAAAACAACAAGTTTCTTTTTATACACCGTATGTACGTAGGTGCAAAATCACATATTTTAGGTTTCGTGTAAAATAATTACAAGTGTATAGAAGTAAAATTTAATGTAGGTGGAGAACGAACAATGTCATGTAAACGGTTCCATGTATTCATTCACGTACCACGATGTTTAATATACTATTATATATTACACTAGAAAAATAAATATTTGCTTGATGTTGATTGACCTTGACATTTTTAAACTGAACGCAAAATATACATTATTTATTACTATTGCAAAAGTTTTCCTTATGGCCAAAAGTTATTTTTATTTCAATCAAAACTCAACAGAGAAGTGATCTTATAGTGAACGGTTTTCACCAAAATGTTGTCCGTTCGCCCGAGTGCATTTGTGAAATAACCATTTTAAAATATTGGTTACTCTTGTACCTTTCGACGAGTTCGTTTAAAGTTTAAAACTATGGAAACTATACCAACGGATAGAAGAGAAGATAACGAATGTTTTCGTTAAAAATATTTTTGACAATAACTTTCTAGGGCGGGCAAATCGATTAAAGGTAATGTTGATATGGTATATATGTAGACTCTGTACCTCGGTAATCAATGGTTGAAAATTTTTTTAAACGTGTCAATGGAAGAAGCATGATTTAAAATTTTACGAAAAAAGTTTAGTCCATTTTTTTCGCCTGTTTGTTACCAATTCCGTTCAAAGGATCCTCAGTTTCCAGATTTTTAACTTATTATCATTTTCTTTGGCGTATTTATCAAAATCAATAACATATTCAGAATCAGCAAACAAAAGTGGATCAGAAAGGAAAGTCTTAAAAACTTTCTAAAAGACCTTTTTTGTTTACGAAACCGAGCGAAGAGTGTGAAATACTTGATGGAGGCTTTTTGGAAATAGGTGCTTAGAATATTAGTCAAGATACACGTAGTTTAATTGACAGTTCAACGAGTGTTTTTCTTCGCGTGTTTTTTGGGTTTTGTTGTAGTTAATGAAAACAAACTAACTGTTTGACTTTTGTCAGCAGAAAGTACACAACAATTTTCGAGAGAGAAGAGCATTCGGAGGGAAAAGTTAATTTTTTTGTCTCATAGTTGAACTATTTTCTTCTTGACAGTTTTAGAATCGAAAGAGAATATTCTTTCTCTGACAATGCATCAAATCTAAAGTCTTCTCCGATGTGCTGGTTCAGTTAAATACGTTGACTGTGCAGAAATCTCAGAATGAAAAATCAAAACAGTGGGAGTGATGCACAAGGTTGAAGTATCACAAATTGTAGGTTACCTCGCTGTAAGATGGCTTTGCCGTTTGAGTCTTTTCGAATGTAGCAACGATTATTTCGATCCTGTTTGATGCACAGAGGATAGCGGCACCGCCAGAGCACCTCAATCACAGGACGCTAGATTGGCTCTAGCAACGAACTGATCCGAGTGTCAATTATCTACACATACACATTCACTGGAAGTTCAAGAGTAAATGTTTTCTTCACATACGGCAAACGTTACCTTATTGGCGCAACTCACATATAAAACACAAAGACAGTCCCTCTCACTTCTATTCTGAGATCCAATGGCAGTAACATTTCGAATTAGAACTGAAAAATACACCGATGAAGAAGCTAAAGATACACCTGAGATGAAACTTCTCACCGGTAAAAACAATGTCACACTTCAGATAAGCAAATTAATAATAGTTCAACTTTGTGACATTGAAATGAAATGGAGCTTATAGCTCAAAACAAAAAGAATAAATTGCTGTGTACTCTGAAGGTGTTCTAGGAGAATTACTTCATGTTCTCGAAGAAAATACCGAGTAAAACATGATGAAATTTGGTGGAAAAGATATTAAACCATCGAAAGAATGTAGTGACAATCAGATAAGTGGTAGGATAGCTTTCTCAGCCTTCCTGCAACCTTGTTCTAATCATACCGGGATCTTGGTACGATCTTGTCCGGATCCCGTTGCAATCTTTGCAGGATTTCAGCGCGCTCCCGTCAAAACATTTTCGTGTCAAGATTGCAAAATTTTCGTTACACGGAAAAAATAGCAAAATTAGGTACGATCGCGGTATGGGTCCCGCGTTAAGTTTCAAATTTGTTGTCAAAAATCGCTGCAAGGAGCTGTATTCTTGCCGCGAAATGAAGCGGGAATGCTACTAGGGCATGAGCAGTCCTCAAGAGACAAGAAATTTTTCACATAGCTATGGGACAGAGCCCATTTCAAAGTATATATGTTAAAAGATCCCGACCGTATCTCTCAAACTGGCTAAGAAAATTAAAATTTACTCTGGCATCTACAGCAAAACTCACGTCAGCTCTCTACACCGAGCGACACCTATTAGAAAAATGCTTATATCTCTTGAATGAAACAACCGTTTGAGTTGAAACTTTCAGACTATTCCTAAATATGTTTGATCTTGATACCCTGAAAGTTTCAGCGAAATCGGAGACACCTTGGATGCAACTTATGCTGTGGCTCTCGTGCAATGACTCTTAGGTATTTAATCGAGCAAGAATGTTGGATTTTTCAATGAAAGCAAAGAAAAGTTAAGAACTTTCTTGTATCTCATTATGAGAGAGCTGAAAAACTCGACTTTTTTTGCGCCCGACGGATTGAACTGAAATTTTGGGTAATGAATAACGACAATTAGTTAAACAGTTTTGGAAAGTTTCATCAATAAAGTGTGAACGGTTGTAAAGATAATTATTTTTATAGGTGGCACAAAGTAAGTACCGTTCATTCTCGTTGAACATAGCGCTGTTGAACAAAAGTGATTGTTTCGAATAAAAGACAGCGTCTATCCTGATTCTTCATGATTTAGAGCTGT